AAGAGCGGGGTATGGTCATGGACAGTGGGAAGATCAGGGCTCCAAACAGGGGAGGACAAGAGAGCCCTGGGGAGAAGGGGCAGGAGGGCCCTCGGGGTGGGACAGGTTAGCAAGGTTCACGGTGTCCAGGATGATGTGGAGGAAGCACTTCCCAGCTCTGAGGGTTCATTGAGGGGTGGGGGTGGATGGCAGGCCCTTTGAGGAGAGGTTGGGGCTCCTCAGGAGTGGGGCTCCCCATGCTTCTCGACCCAATATTTGATCCAATAATGAGGGCCCCATCTGGGGCCGAGAAGCAGGAAGCTGTGATGGGAGGAGGCTGTGACCACTTTGTCAACTTCCCAACTCAGAGAGTAGAGAGGGAGGACCTGGGGGGGGGCCTGGCCCGGGAAGGAGGTGTGGGGAACAGGAGGAGGAGGGGCAGATGCCAGGGCCAACCAGGTTACCTAAGAGCAGAGCGTGCTGGTTTCCTGCGCACCTACAGGAATTCAGGGTCCCAGAGAATCCGGTGGGAGTGTCCTGAGCTGCCTGTGCCTGCCTACCCAGGGCTGTGGGGGGGCTTGAGTGTTGGAGCTACCGCTCCCATCAGCAAAGGACGCCAAAGCCAGAGGAAGAGCATCTGCCTGTGCACCCACAGCGGGCATCAGAGGGACTTGGGCAACAAGGCCTGCAGTCCTGGCCCCGTGCAACCAGGTCGAGGCCATGGGGGACCCTGGGGTGAGCATGTTCCCAGGTCTGATTGGTCTTTTGGGCACCCAGGTGGCCCCCAAACTGGTGTGTTCGACCTGAAGGCCATCACACGCCTGCTGCTGCAGCCGGACGTGCTGCCAGTGTTCCTCGTCAAGGTGGTCTCCAACTTCCCCTCAGGTGAGTTGAAACCACCCACCCCACAGATGCAGAGCGGGGTGCACTGAACGTTCCAGGCCTCAGGGACTGGCCTGTGGTCTGCTGCACACCTCTTCTGTCTGCCCGGAGTGCCGAGATGCAGCCCACTCTCCCCATTTCCTCTCTCCTGTCATGTATGTCCCAGAGAGGGAGCGGCTGCGGGCTCACAGGGATGTGATAGCATAAGCGAGGAAGGAGAAGGAAAAACAAGGGTCTTTCTCACCTCCTTCAGCCTCCTCCCCACGAGGCCCTTGTGAAGCCAAGGAAGGGGTCCCTGCATTCCAGAGAGAGGGCTTTGCTCAGAGCCCACCCACCCCTACTTTACAACCACACCCTGTTGGTGTCCCTGTCATCCAGTAAGTCCGGGAGTCCACAGAGCTGGAAAGCTCACCTGTCCCAGCCATCCAGATCCTGGGCAACCCTGGGGGCATTGCTGACCAGTCTAGTCCAGCCATGCTGTGCCCAGGAGTGACCTCTCTCAGAAGCCCTGTCTGGGGTCCTCTAGCTGGGAGACCACAGAAAGGACAGAGAATGCTGAGTGGAGACGCTTCAAAGGCACTCAGGTGCTAGAAAGTCAGTCCCTCCCCTAAGCAGAAAGTTTTGCCCCTCATGCAAAACTGCTTAAGTCCTGTGGCTGAGGGCGAGCAGAAGGGCTGCCCTGAGCCCAGGACTGGCCAACCCCTCGCCAGCGCCGATGGGCTCCACCCTCTGCCCCTCCCAGCCTTTAACCTGGCTCTTTCGGTTGCAGTAACGGAACCCAAGCCCCTAACTTGGGCAAAAGGGGCCTTTGAGGGCTCTTACAACACAAAGGGCCAAGGAGTGTCGTCCAACATGACCATGCCTGGCCCCCGCTCTGGCACCTTCAGCCCACAGTCTACAGCTTCGGTACCAAGGGCCCAACCAAATCCAGGGAAGTGTCTGGTTGGCCCAGCTGGTATCGCGTGCCCCTCCCTGAACCAGTCGCTGTGGCCAGTGCCCAGGATACCCTGACTAGCCAGGCAGGGGGCCCCACCTCGCTGAGACAGGAAGAAGTGGGCACTGCAGCGCCTCTGACCACCCGCCTCCACGCAGGGCTCTTCATGGTCATGTTCGCCATCATCAGCATGGACTTCTTCCAGCTGGAGGCTGCCCAGGCTGGCTACCTCACGTCCTACTTCGGGGTCCTCCAGATGGTGAGTTGGCAGGGGGTGGGGGATGGTCCCAGATGGGACAGGCCTCTCAGCCTGGCTGGCAGCACCCATGCTTCCACTCCAGCCTTCCTCCACTCCACCATCTGCATGGTGGGCTTCCGGCTCCCCTCCTGTGCCTCCCTCGCGGCTCTGCCATCCCCTCACTCTGGCTTACCCCTCTTTGTGACCTAGCTCCCATGCATGTGTCTGCACTCAGGCCACTGCACCCCCTAGACCCATGTACCCACAGACTGTCCACCCTACCATCTGCCTGGGGTCCTGTCTGAGATGGGGAGCGGTTGCCCAGTAAGGCTCATCCAGGTGGAGGCTGGTGAGTCTTTGGCTGACCACCCAGCAGGGAGCCCAGTGTGCGGATGGGATGGGAAGGAGCGCAGCCCCATTGGTGGGGCATGTATATTTTTTTTTTTTTTTTT